AAAAAAAAAAAAAAAAAAAGAAAGGTCCCTTCCTCAAAGAGGTCTTCAAGGAACCCCTCGTCCCTTGCTACCCCTTCACCTTGCTTTGTTATGCACACAATACTTGCCACAAACTGGCATTACCTTGTTCTTTCATTTGTCTTTTTTTTTCGTTTTTAAAAGCCAGGTTCTGAGCTGCCACTCAGGCTGGAGTACAGTGGTGCGATCATGGCTCACTGTAGCCTCCAACTCCCAGGCTCAACCAATCCTCCTGTCTCAGCCTCTCGAGTAACTGGGACCACAGGTGCCCAGTATCACACCCAGCTCATTTTTATTTACTTATTTACTTACTTTTGAGATGGAGTCTCGCTCTGTCACCTAGGCTGGAGTGCAGTGGTGCAATCTCGGCTCACCACAACCTCCACCTCCTGGGTTCAATCGATTCTCCTCCCTCAGCCTCTTGAGTAGCTGGGATTACAGGTGCCTAATTACGCCTAATTCTTCTATCATTTTAAATTGTTTTTTTGTAGAGATGGGATCTCACTAGGTTGCTCAAGCTGATCTCAAACTCCTGGGCTCAAGCGATCCACCCACCTTGGTCTCCCAAATTGCTGGGATTAAAGGTGTAAGCCACCCCACCTGGTCTCCTTTATTAGTTTACTTAGTGTATCTCTCTCACCCACTGGGATAGAAGCTCTTGGAGAGTAGGGAGCCTTGCTCGTCTTGTCCTTCAAGGAAGCTACAGGTGCTGACCGACAACAGGTGCTCTTAAAGCTCTACTAAATCCAAAAGGAAGTTTTGTCTTTGGACTCCCTGTGGCGGTGCCCAGAGGGTCCCTGACTTACAAGTTTCCAACCCTGGAGGTTTCCGGTCTCAGGCTCAGACCTGGCGAATGTCAGGGATTTTTTTTTTTTTTTTTTTCCCTTTTGAGACGGAGTTTTGCTCTTGTTGCCCAGGCTGGAGTGCAGTGGTACCATCTCGGCTCACTGCAACCTCTGCCTCCCAGGTTCAAGCGATTCTCCTGCCTCAGCCTCCCAAGTAGCTGGGATTACAGGCTCGCGCCACCACGCCCAGCTAATGTTTTGTATTTTTAGTAGAGATGGGGGTTCAGCATGTTGACCAGGCTGGTCTCGAACTCCTGACCTCAGGTGATCCACCCAAGTCGGCCTCCCAAAGTGCTGGGATTACAGACGTGAGCCACTGCGCCCGGCCAAGCCAGGGCTTCTTTTACCCTATCAGGGAGAACCCTCCCTCTCCCACCCTAAGTACAGGTATGAATATTTCCATGGATGGTTTTGTTTTGTTTTGTTTTGAGAGGGAGTCCCGTTGTGTCGCCCAGGCTAGAGTGCGGTGGTGCAATCTCAGTTCACTGTAAGCTCCGCCTCCCAGGCTCAAGCGATTCTCTTGTCTCAGCCTCCCAGGTAGCTGGGATTACAGGCGTGAGCCACCACACCCAGATAATTTTTGTATTTTTAGTAGAGACGGGGTTTCACCATGTCGGCCACGCTGGTCTCAAACTCCTGACCCCAGGTGATCCACCCCCCTTGGCCTCCCAAAGTGCTGGGATTACAGGTGTGAGCCACCGTGCCCAGCCCAAGCCTATAGTAGCCGGTATTCCTAGGTGGTCTCCCATCCACATACTAACCAGGCCGGACCCTGCTTAGCTTCCGAGATGAGACGAGGATCGGGTGCTTTCAGGGTGGTATGGCCATAGATATAGCCAAGGTTTTTCACACTGAGAGCAGATCAAGGTCCAATTCCACAGGTTTGCTCATCTAAGACCCAGCTCAGACCTCCCTAGGTGGGGCGGCCAGGGTGGGGGTGGGGAGGTAGAGAAGCTGAGTCCCCCAGGACTTCGGAGCTTCTTGTCCCCCACCCCCTACCTGGAGGGCAGACCACAGTGTTGGGCAGGGACAGACAGGTGGACATCCCCACTCTACTCAACTTCTGTTGATTCAGCCCAGTTCCTGCCTCATGGCCAGAGCCTCCCCTCCCCTGTCCTCTCCTCCCCCAACTCCACTCCCAGCACCTGAAAACTCCAGTCACCTGTGCCTTGGCTGGGCTTTAAGGCCAGGTGACTGGGCCTTGCGGGGTTAGAGGAAGCCCTTCCACACTTTTTTGTGTTTTTGGGTTTTTGGAGACAGGGTCCTGCTTGGTGGCCCAGGCTGGAGTGCAGTGGCATGATCATAGCTCGCTGCAGCGTCTCAACTTCCCAGGTTCAGGTGATCCTCCCACCTCAGCCTCCAGAGTAGCTGGGACTACAGGCACACTTCACCACACCTGGCTGATTTTTAAATTTTTGTTTTTGTAGGTTTTAAAACTTTTTGTAGAGATGTGGTACCACTATATTACTCAGGCTGGTTTCAAACTCCCGGGCCCAAGGTATCCTCCTGCCTTGGCCTCCCAACGTGTTGGGATGACAGGCGTGAGCCACTGTGCCTGGCTTCAGCCTCCACATTTTCTCAACAGGGTCTTTAAGACCTGGTTCCCAGAAGGGTGGTCCTTTGGGAGTTCAGGGTCTCCAGCTCTCTCAGTTTCCCCAGTTAACGGGGTCCAGCCAGGCTGCAAAGCTGCAAAGTTCTAAGACCCCTACATCTCCCGCCAGCCCCGAGCCCAGCAGTACAAAGCACCATAGGACCACTCTCTTCCTTGCAACCCCGCTAATTGCGAGGCGCCAGGAGTAGGGTCGACCTGGGCGCGCCTGCGACAAGGCGGGGCCGAGTCGTCCGGGGGCGGGGCGGGGCGGCTCCGGGTCTCCTGTCCCCGCCTGCCCTGACTCACCCTCGCGGCCCGCCCGGGAACTCTGCGGGAGTCGCGGCAGCTCCGCTCCCAGAGACCCAGGAGTTGGGCCCAGCGTCCCTCCCGGAACGGTGAGTAGGTGGCTCTTCGCCTCTGGGTACCCCACGAGGTGGCGGGGTGGGAGTCGGACCGGGAGTCCCCGGGTCTGGACAAGGGGCAGAGTCGCTCCAGGTGCGCTGGCCCTGTGGCCAGGGCAGGCCGTCCGGACACACCAGGAGTTGGGGTGGGGGTGCGGGCTGGGGCAAAGGGAAACCTGGCCCACGAGGTGCCTGTCCTGGGAGCCAGGCAGACCCGGCCAAGTCTCAGCGTGAAGATAAACAGGCTGAAGATAAACTTGACTTTGGGGATCTCAACCACTTTCCCCTCCCCTTGGCATCTGGGAAGACACTGACAACTCATCCCCGGGAGACCCTCAGAGCCCCAGAACCTACCACTTGGGGTGGGTTCAACCAAGCCTGACCTCTGGTGCTCTTGAACTTACAGATGTCCCAGACTTTCAAGTCCGTTAGCAGAGGCAGCTTGCAAAACTACCCCCCTGGGAATCCACAGGCCTGGAGCCTGACCCAGGACGGGCTACAAAGATGCCACCCTCCCCCACCCTAGACCCTCAGTTTCTCCCTTGTATAAAAGGTTGAAGCTCGGCCGGACACTGTGGCTTACGTCTATAATCCCAGCACTTTGGGAGGCCGAGGCAGCCAGGTCACCTGAGGTCAGGTATTCAAGACCAGCCTGGCTAACACCGTGAAACCCCATCTCTACTAAAAATACAAAAATGAGCTGGGCATGGTGGTGCATACCTGTAGTCCCAGCTACTCGGGAGGCTAAGGCATTAGTATTGCTCGGACCCAAGAGGTGGAGGTTGCAGTGCGTTGAGATTGGGCCACTGCACTCCAGCCTTTTTTTTTGAGAGCGAGACTCCATCTCAAAAAAAAAAAAAGGTTGAGGCCAGGCACAGTGGCTCACGCCTATAATCCCAGCACTTTGGGAGGCTGAGGTGGGAGGATGCTTGGACTCAGGAGTTCAAGACCAGCTTGGGCAACATAGCGAGACCCCTATCTCTACAAAAATTACAAAAGTTGGCTGGGCATGGTAGCATGCACCTGTAGTCCCAGCTACTGGGGAGGCTGAGGCAGGAGGATCACTTAAGCCCAGGAGTTCGAGGCTGCAATGAGCTATGATCGCGCCATTGAACTCCAGCCTGGGTAACAGAGCAAGACCATATCTCTCTCTATTTTTTTTTTTTTTTTT